ATAAATAAGTTACATATTAATAATAAGTAATTTATTAGTAAAATATGACTATTTCTAATGGCAATTCATCATTATATTGAAAAAGCTATCAATTTTATTCTCATCTCTCATAATTCATCCATAATTTATCCATTATCCATCTCATAATTTATCCATATTTATATAAAATTGATATGAAAAACTTATTAAAGAGTAGAAGAATAAAGTATAAATAGTATATTAATACGAATTGCGTGTAACAAGTACATAATTTTGTACTGGTGTAACACTAAGACAAATTATTTTCGATAACGACAAAAACTAGGATCGTGATGCAATTTAATACGTTCCAAATTTTACACCGACAAAAACGCATCGTTACACAAAAGGTGGAACATAAATCTTCTTCAAAAACATTGATATTAAACTCAATTATGCCGTCTAAGTAGTAATAAATCTCGGAATAATATCCCAAAGTTTTAGCTGTGCTACTTCAGGTGATCGTTACGTTGTATTCTGCCATAGGGCGAATGCAATCTTCATTAAGTAAAATTTATTTCATTTTTCCCTTATCTTATATACTGGCCAGTTGTTAAATGATCTCTGTCTACTTCTCTCAAAGTGCATACATCATATTTTGTTAGAATTATGTTCTTGATTAAAGTATTAAACGGTTAATTTTCAATTTAATCGTTTATGGCTACGGGACGGACTGAGAAGCTTGATGCCTTATCTCTGATTAACAGTGACATCAGCCGAAACGTCGCTTTTTATTGGAAAATAATTTAAAAATAAACTGCAATAACCATATAATCTTCGAATAAACATAAAGATTCATTACTGAACGATATTTATAAATAGGTACTTACACAAAAGAATGAAATCTTTATACCCTATCCAACCCATCTATTTACCAAGACAGCTGTAATAATGTTAAAAAAGTTAAAAGGAAACTGAAACGAAGAATAATGAACACAAAAAATGCAAGATGTCCCGATGTTAAAAGCTGTGCCACTAATCTGCCGCTCATGGATAAATGAGTCGAGGAAGGCTCACCAACGGTTTTCGTGTAGCAGAAATATATATGCTTTTGCTACTCATCAAGCCAGTGAACGTAATCGGTGCATCGTTGGTGAGTGGTGAACACTTACGATAAGATCACTTCCTCTAGCCTAAAAGTCTATTGGAGCTTCCCTTTTCCTGCTCCTTTGAAACAGCAAAATCTATCACGTGTATTAAATCGTCGTGTATTAAATAAAACAATGAGCAACAATCATAAATCAAAAGGTGCATCAAAGGCAGCCAGCGTCTTAGCGCGGGACAGACTAAATCACACCAAGCATAACCTCGACTTCGGCAAATTCGACTTTAATCCACGCCGAATTGCTTTTAATTGGTGCAAAAGGAGGAAACAGAGCGTCGAACGATTATTGGATTCAGTCGGGCGGAATAGGCATGGGAAATTTCGGAATTCCAGCGATCTCGTCAGCGATTAGACCTCAATCGCGAGGGGCCCGATGCAATTTCCATTGACTGGCAAATTGCGTTTGGCAACATCAAATTGTAGCATCTGTCAAAGCGCAACGCACAACTCACGGTCCCGTGTTACCGAAACCGCCCGTGAATGATAGCGCTATTAGGAGCAACGGTTTAATGATAACTTTCGTGTCCAGTTATGCTTTATCCTTGGGAAACAACTGCCAAGATAAAAAGTATTATTACTATTACTTTCTTTTCTATACCTGAACAAAAATCTCTGCTATATTAACAGTGCGAAGATACTGTTATAGTTCTTTTTTCATCAACAATCATTTAGTTGTTTGCCTTAGGCTCTATAGCTACCCTGATGTTATGTTACTGCCAGTCAAGAACACGTTCAACACCACAGGAGTTGAAAAAGTACTACCAATCTTTAAGGTCACAGTGATCTGGGATTATCTGCGATAGTAGAAAATTAAAATGATTTTTTTATTAAGATACAATTGAAAGAAAACTGAAAGAAAGAAAAATAAACTATTTCATTGCAACTGAAATAGAACGAACATTATAAAAACCACAAATTAAAATACCGTGTTCTATCTTTATTTATACTCTTATCAGCATTACTACATACGGTGGTAGGGCCACGCAGCAGCCTCGGGTGTTGCACGAATGGGCAGGCTCGTCCGGGTAAGTACCACGACCTCACAGAAGACCGGCGTCAAGGGGATGTAAAATACTTTCGCGTTTCATCTGGTGTGTGAGGTAGCCGGAGCCCAATTTTCAAAAGGTTGTCAACGCACCTGCAACCCTCGGGTGTAGCGGATGTCCATGGGTGGCGGTATTCACTTAACATCAGTTGAACCGCCTGCTCGCTTGGCAACTTTTCACATTAAAAAAAATCTAGTTGAGATTGTTAGTACCAGTTTCTTGGTTCTAACTAACTCCATTTTGACTACACACTCCATGGTTTCATACGGGTAAAGTTATAGTTAAAAAAGTTATAGGAATAAAACACAACGGAGAACCATCAATCATTCATTGGAGAGAAAGGCAGGATGCTTTTTAGGCATAACAAGCGTAGTTAACGCTGGCCAGCAGAACTAAACAATATCGTTAGAAAAAACTAAAACCAAAATAGTACTATATTTATTGACATTATTGTTGTATTTATTTAAAAAATAATGTATTTAATTGTTGAAATAAAAAGTGTTAGTTCGGTTAGGAAAAAATGCTACAGTTGGAAAAGTTTATTATTTATTATTGCAAATATTAGTTTTATGAAAAAATAATATTTTTGACCAGTGAAAACACCTTTCTCGAGTTTAAAATTATTTTAGAATAACAAAATCAAAATATGCCTTTTTAATAATATCCGTGATTATACAATTAGTATCGTCGTAAGACCTGTAGCGACATCCCGTTTTGACAAACGACAATTTTTATTTTTACCACTTGCTACTAGATGGCGCAACGCTCTATATTGCGTAATTATTGTAATTTCGTGCAAAGAATAAGGCCAGCTTTAATTACAACCTTGGAAAAACTCAATGGAATGTAATATGACTACTGCTCATTACCAAATGATATATTAAATGGACTATATTTAATACATCAGAAATGATAGAAACAATACAAACATTTACTATAGGTACTTTATGAAAATAACTGTAATGCCGTAACATGTCACGCGTCTTTTTGATTTGAATTGAAACCTCGGCCGAAATTGTTCATCACTGTGCAACCCGCAATTATAATTAATTTTCCCGGTAACATTATCATTATTATAATTGAGACTGTATCGCACGATCTGTGATGCCACACGCCCAAAGGCAACTCTCTAATGGCCGAATGGACACGCCACAAATTTCTAGCGGTATACAGTTAATTTAAGATGGCGAGCTTTATTCGAGGCGTGGAAATTGACGAGCCAAAACCGCTTTGCAATTGGATATCAAACAACGATATTTGCCGTGACAATGGCATTAAAATAAGATAAAAGTTTTACTATATATTATGCTATGAGATTATGATAATATTATGGAATTAAAATGTTGAAAACAGAAAAATCACTCGTATAAAAAAAGAATTTAGAAAATATTTATTAAATTGCTATAAATCATGATAGTACATGATACGACGACCATATGACATAAAATTTAAGTGATATAATGTTTATTAGCCTTTGATTTCGCTTTATGAATAAATAATACTTTGACTAACTTTTTTAGTCTGGGTAATGATACATTAATTGAACCTCACATTATTCTTATTTAGTAAAGACGTACAGAGCCGTGCTGTGAACTAAATACAAAATTCTACAGTTCCGGTGAAAGCTTATTGAAATAAAAAACCAAATAACGATCAACGGATCTTATGAAACGATTAACTAGTTAATCCTTTAGTCTTAAAACGCTATTCAACTTATTGCTTAGAGCGTCTTTATCAAGAATCGTTTAAGAAACTTCATCCGTTATGTTAAAAGCTTCAATTAACACTATAATGAATCAAATTTGTATTGTCATTAAACCTGCAAGCTGATTAATTAGGCGTTATGAAATTAATGTGACACATTCAATATTCATTAAAACGTCGTTTAAGTAACCATTGTGATTAATTATTCCAGTAATATAACTACAGTTTTAGTAGAAATCATTGTTTTAGATTTGTATAAAAGGTAATTTACGATCACTGTGCAGCTTTAACTATTCAAATATCGTAACGTTGTTATCTAATGCATAAATTATATGAAAAATGAAACAAAAGAAGCATTTCTAATTAAATTTTTCTTTATATATTTTTAAATTTAGCCTCATGTATACATTACATCTTAATTATATTACATATTTACAAAAAATCAATTAATTAGAGCCTTACTTGACAAAAAATCAGATACAATCGTGTACCATTTCGCAAAGTAAAACATTAATTAACTGATAAAACTTAACTTACAAAATTTACTAGTACTTAAAACTAAAAGGTACATTAAAATTCCTCCGACACGGTTTAAATGTCTTCATAGCCTCAAATTTTGGAATAGAAGAACTTAAAACGAAGGTAATACTTTTTGGTAACTATAGTTAACCATTAACTTAGGCCTATTTGAAAAACTATCACAATAAATAAATCTCCATGAAACATAACAACAATAAACAATAATTTCAGTCTTTTAATAGTTGAAAGAAGATCAAGTTATTATGAGCTAAATGAACTAAAGATTGCTATGTTCGAGAAAACATCAAATTAATAGTTATTCGGGAAATAAATATTTTTACACAACGAATAAGCAAAATGTTTAGTAACAGTACTTGAGATACTTCTTTGGCTAACTAAAAAGGTACTTTAACAATATGCCCGTCTAACTTGTTTACTTCGACACAAACAAAGTTTGACCACATTTTCTATGTCATTGGGACTGGTTGAGATTTGCACAAGTATTTAAGTTCATTGGCGTCCATTGGCACCGAGCTTCAAACCTGTTACGCTCCCTATTGTTGGGCGAGTTCGCTTTCGATTCAGAATATTTTCATGCAGTTAGATTATCGCTTCATTATGTCCTCTATTGAGAAGCCTAGCTGCCTTTTTGGGGCCTCCACGGGTGACTGTTGTGGGTGGGCTTGCGCCGGCTGCTGCTGGTAATTTTGGGACGGCGGAGGCGAGGGCTTGTGTGAGAGGTCCAGAAGAGGGCTCTCGGAGACCTGACTCGTCGAAGAGACCTCCTGGCACCCCTCGAGGTGTTCCAGATGGTGCTTGTTCGCTTCACTGTGTGTGAGCAAGTGCGTCTTCAAATTGGACCTTTGGTTGAAGCTTTTGCTGCATACCGGACACTTGTGCGGCGACTCCTCCATGTGCAAAATTTTATGCACGGCCAACGTACGCGATTGGCAGAAGCCTTTGCCGCATTCTGTACACTTAAAGGGCTTTTCCTTCGAATGGATATACCTGGAAAGATAAGAAAAATGAAATTAATCTCATGTTAAATAAAGATGTAGTGCGAGTTGTGAGTTTAATGCGAGATTAGCGCGAAGTTACAATACGCGCTTCGTAATGAACTGTGCTATTACTTCGGTAAGCGCATTAGGCGCTGGATACAATTTGGACGAGGGGAAAAAATAAGTTTGTCTCGTAAATGCAAAGAAATATAACGTGTAATTTGTCGGACGACGGAGCAAGACAGATACGGCGATCGTAAAGAGCCAAACCGGTCGTCGGGGAGCGCGTGCGCCCGTCGCGACCTCACAAAAAGTTTTTACACTTTTGTTTTTTTCTAATTCTTATCGCCAACAAAGCCTCAGATGAAACAAGCCCTTAATCACGCTGTTGGCATTAGAAAGGGAGAATGAATTGAATCTGATGTGCTTAAGATAATAACTGATAAAAGGCTGACTTGAGAAAATGATTATCGCTAAGCTGCAACCTACGGAGTGTCCTCCGGTAAATAACTGAAACTACGCAATAGTATAAAAAAGGAATACGTCTAAACACTATAACTTACCTATGATCTCTAAGGTGGTCTTGTCTTCTGAAGGCCTTCCCGCATATGTCGCAGGAGTAGGGCCTCTCGTCCGTATGCGTCCTCTCGTGGATCAGCAGATTGTACGACTTCGTGAACTGGCGGTTGCAGTACTTGCAGATGAACTGCTTCTTCGGTCGAGCGCCGGGCACGCCGGGCGCGCGCATCGGGGGCGGATTCCTCACGGGCATCCTGTGCGCCATCGCGGCGGGGTACCTCAGCGAGTGGTGGTACAACGCGGCGTTGCGTATCCACTGGTTGACCAGCATCGCGTGGTACGGGGCGGACGGTGGCAGCGTCGCCACCTGCGCTTGCATGTACGCCGTCATCGGGTGCGGGTAGCCCGGCGCGGGCGCCTTGTCGTACGCGTAGGGGGTCTGCATTGCCGGCCTGGGGTACGTCGGGTACGCTTGGGGCGCCCAGGCGGACTGGTGGTGCGAGATGACGACGGCGGGGGGCGTGTCGTCGGTGGGCGTGTGCGGCGGCGTCGGCAGCGGCGGCGACGGCCGCTCCAACTTCACCAGCGCCTCGATCGGGAAGTCCGGCGGGTAGCCTGCGCAAACACTCGGTTAGAACCAACGAAGGGAGAAGACGATCTGCCAGTTTTTGAAAGAATATCGGCTACCTCAAAACCGTAAGGGTATTAAAGTTACATATAAAAAATTTTATCTATTATTTAATAACATTCAGTAGATGAATGCAAACAACCGACAGTGAAACTAGATTAAAAAAATTGTACGTAGTATAGAGCATATGACTAACTAGCATATACTTATAAAAATTAATTGCATGCTCTGCATTATTTTAGGTTGACGCAACCAATAAGGGCGGCGGTTGAAGTATACTCACTGTGATTCTCTTCGATGTGCTCTTCCTCTTCCTCGTCTATGTTGATATCGTCTGAACTGTCAACACTGTATGGCTTGTCTTCCATATCCGAAACGGAACAATCCATCGAGACAACGCACTGGGGCACTATACGGCACTAGTATCAACACTGCGGCTGTGTCGTCACCGCCAAACCGGTTTGCGGACTGACAACTGGTCGGTGAGAGCGCGCGGAGCGTTATGGGCCTGTGTGCGTTCGTTATCGGGGCCTGCGCATGCGCGTGGCGGCGGGGGGAGGACATCAAAGGCGCCGCTCCGGCCGGCGCTTGTGTCGGCTCCCGAAGAGGCGAACGCCGCCCAATAGGCGGGGCCTACCAGACTCGGCCTTCGGGATCGATCGGCAACAGTCGCGAATCGACTTAAGCACCCCGCCGCCGAATGTGCCGAAGTCCCAAATAGCGAGAGCTTTACGCCCGCTTAGGACTTTGTCTGAGTGGCGCGCAAAGTATTGCTTCGGTTCGGAACTGAGCTTGGTTAATTCGATGCAAATTTTTGGTGACAGAGCGTCCCCCTGTGAAGCTATTAGGTGAGCGGATTGCTCTCGTAATTGCGTCTCGTAGGCAAGTCTTTATACTCATTTTAATGCCTTTGTTCGCCCGTCTCTTTGTAATTTTGACTCCAATTGCTACGGAGGCATAGATGTACATTTGTAATATATAACGTTCTCTTTTGTGTTTCATTAAGCGATTATGATGAAAGTTAGACTACATAATTTTTTCCCTAACCCTATTTTTATCGAGTAAATGAAATATTTCAAAATAATGTAATTTTTTTTAATTGTTAAATGTCAACCTTGTAATTATTACTAAATAAAGCTTTTTTACCTAAATTACAATGTGTAGAATTCACGAAAATCCAATAAATCATTACAACATTCGTTATTTCGTTGGTTTCAATAGATTTAGTTCTCAATTTAACTTTCACTTATAATTAAAACCTATCTCTTCAAAACTTACGTTACAGATTACAATTAAATATTATTTAAAAAGAAAGGTCGTTGTATCTAATTTCTAATTATAGCCTTAACAATTCATCAAATTCCGTTTAATCGAATTTTTGTTCTTTAAACTATTGAATTAAATAACAATTTTGATAAAACTGCAAACAAAACAATTTATTCGTTATGTATGTTTACAAAATATAAAGTTTTACAGGAATTACGGGAATTTTATTTTCGTTTTAAACGTATATTTTCTTTTAAATTCCCGACTTTACAAAATACGTCTAGCGGCAAGAAATCCTTTGCGAATGGAATGAAAGTATGTTATACCACCAACCACGTGCCTTTATTTCTAGGAAGTCGTTATTTTAGAAATAAATGGCTTTCTTTATTTATACTATAAGCATAACATAAAAACATAAAAATATACTTGCACGTATTTAATGCGCTAAATTATTTTTTTCTTAACTATTACCTTCATCTAAGTTACTATATTTTTTATTTTCGTTACTCTTCCGTTTACAATTTTGACAACTTATTTAACTTACTTACGTTTAAAAACAGAAAACATTAGTCACTTTAAAGTAAAGTGAACATTATTTGTTACATACAAGAATTTCTTGTATTCAATAATGTAACTTGCGTTTCGTAACAAAGCTTTACCTGCTTTTCTTATTTATCTATTGACACAAGTAAATGAGTTTAAAGGTGATGTAACTAAAGGTCAATAGGACAAAACAGGGCCTTAAAAGCAATTGACGAAATAACGCTTCGCAGAAATGCTTTATACAACACTGAATGGTTATAACAAATAAGTACTCAGTGAACTTGTTATTTCTAAATATTTTAAAGTTGCAAAGCGTGTAACTTTAGAGGAATTGGAACGAGAATATTTATTTTATTAGTACTAGGTACGTAACCAAAACAGAAATAATAAATAGTTACACGTCTATATATAATAGAAGTAAAATATTAGTTTCATAAATATTTTAAAATAGTATAGATTAAAAAAGACGTAACTTTGATGGCACTACGTTTGCTCTATCCAGTGCTCTATGTTATCCATATTTTAATCAGTTGCAAAGAATTTTATATACACAAATTTCGCATTAACGAGCCCGTATCCAAGATACAAAGAAAATACAATATAATAAGATTCGAACCCTTAACTCATGGTTCCGGAGCTGATGCCTCAGCCACTACGCCACTTTCTACAGAATCTTAACTAGGATATCATATACATTAATTATTTTAGTGCAATGATAGAATACAATACAACCCTTTGCACTAACTTTACTGTATAAATATATGATATCATAAACATTAATTATTTCAAAGTAATCATAGATTGCAAATTGCCCTTTTGCTTCAATTTGCAATTTAGTGTCCATAGGTCCCTCTATATAATTATTATTTTATCTGATATACCAAAGTGTGAACTAAACAAAGCTCAGCATCCTGTAGAATATTTAAACATCTCTCCTCCAATTCATTTTGTGTACAGATTATACTCGTAATAGATTGAAGTTTTTTTTTTTTTTTTCATTATATGTAAGCATTTTTTTAAATCGTGCTACTTTATGATGATAAATGTTTGCGCTTTCAGTTCGCAGGCTAAGTAAAGTTTCATCGGGCACTGAGCTAGTGAAAAGGGTAGCTCTCTACGAGTTTGATCGACTCTACATAACCGAAGTCACGCAGGTGTACGCGAGCATTAACAAAATCATGGATCGTCGGCTACGGGCCATCCAGGTTTAAGCATGCTTTTTATGTGTTAAGTGACGGTTCACCTAATGTTAAGTGATAACCGCTGCCCACGGAAATTTGCAACACCCGTAGGGTTGGAGAACTATTGCCACCTTCTTCTAAGAGGTCGTGGTACTTCCCCGGATAGACCTGAAATCGCTGTACCTTTATCGAACCGCATTATTGCTTCAGCCCTAGAGGCAATACATATTATCACTATTCACAAAGCTAGCAACCAATGTACGGGGGCATGATTAAATGAACTCATTTCTAATTTTACTATTTGACTATTATTATTACTATTCGTACCCGCAACAAGAATTTATAACAACGCAAAATGTTTTTTTTTACAAGCATGTCATAACTGAACATAAAAATATTATACATAATTGTATTGCTTATATTTTTTAAAAAAGTAACAAAACGTTATTTTAACAACATATTGATTCTATGGGTCAAAGATGAGTTGTTGTCAGGGAAAAATGTATGTATTCATGATTAAGAGATTTTCAATCATTTCTTTTATATTTATGATTTGATATATACGATTTATGTTCCTAAATTCGTCTCGTATCGTGTACAACAAAGACTTTTGCGAAAAAAGAAATACGAACCTATAAGTAAATTTACTCGTTCCAAGAGGTTTTTAGGCGTTTAAATTAATTATTTAATGTGTATATAATTTCTAAATTATCATGTTATACATAATTTTATTTTATTTAATTATCATGACTATGTAAACGGTCAAATTATTTATTAGTCGCAGAGATATCTAGATAAAATATTATTATTAGTTATTCTAATAGCGGCAAAATAATTTCATTTTATCGTTTCATCAGATCGTTTATTTCGTAACTATATATATATATATATATATATATATACCATACCTTAAACATTTTGTTGAAATACTAGTAAAAACTAGTGAGGCGACTGAGAAAGGTTTGGATGGACTGTACGAAAAATAATACGATTGTGTGTGAAAGGAGTTAGTGTAGTACTAGGAGTGTAGTACAAGGAGGAGTTCTGGAATAAAACCTGTGAACGAAGTCCTTTGATCATTGATTTAACAATATGTTTCAATTTTGAATTCGAATTACAAATTTTACATTTGTTCGATGATTAGGCAAACGAATAGGATGACTCTACCTAAGTCAGAAACGATCTAACTCTACCGTTGCAATTCAAATACTTACCTAGTAAAGTTGAGCTTCTTAGCATTCAGAAATGTAATAAAAACAGTATTTATAAGAACAGAGTACGATGTCAGTCCACGAAATACAACCAGAAAGCAAACTTAATAATATTCGATTATTAAATCATGAACTTGCAAAAAGGGGCTTAGCTTCGACATTATTTACCAAATGAAATAGGCGCTGGCATTGAAACAAGGGACACAATGGTCATTCATAACAATTGTACAAACACTGCGGGACGTGTGTCACCGACTATGGTGCGTTTGTAATGCGTGCGCGCAAACATCGGTCAGGTGAGCGCGGACAAACGACACGCGTCGGCGCCCTTTGTGCCGAGATCAAAGGCGCCGACGCAAACACTGGCGAAACGCTATGACACTGTCCGATCCTGGAGCGGCGCGTGCGAAACTATCCTTTAAAGCTTTCGGTTAGAAACCAATGTTATGTGGAGGCTTTTTGTTTTTAAGTCGTTTTTGCCCAAGAGCTAAACCGGCCGTGGTGCCACTAGACACCTTGTTAAGTCTAGGAGTTGCCTCGTTGACGTTCGGGGAATGATTGTGTGAGCAAATCAGCGTTGAAGGAGTTCAAAGATGTTTAATTGGCAGCCAAAGGCCAGTCGAATGGTAATGTCGCAATGAACATTTGCAGGACATTTGCTTTACGAAAAATTGACAATGTTAATTCACTATGAAGTTTCTTCATCATGCATTAGTAGTATTATCAACACTATTTACGATGTGCGTCAGGTTTGACAGATCGAAAATGTATCTATTCTTACCCTCTGACTGAGCATATCACGGATTTAAATGAAGCGGCCTATTCAGCCTTTCGTAATAGCCAACGTAGGTATGTGATTCTATTCCACAACTATGTGGGCGTATTCAAGACAGGAGTGTTCATTCTTTTTTACGTTGGTAGTGTGCTCAATATCTACCGCGACATGGGCACTGGCCATAGTAATATGTAAATTCAGCCGAAGAAGGATTAGATTTCACTATAAAGAACAGACACATTTGCATATGAGGCTCTTTTCCGTTAGTCTTCATTCATCGCATTCTCATTCGCACTCCAACAAACAATCAATATACTGGAGGAAAGGCTTGCCCTTTTTAAACATTTTTTTTAAGATTAATTAACAACGTTTCAATCTACAATACATACCTTCAGTTGATATGTCGGTATCTTTAAAAGCGTAAACTAATTCACGTCGATCATTTCGATGCACTTTATCACCATCGTTATTTCAGTTTAATTGCACTATAACGTTGCACTATTCGTAAAGATTTGCGATGCGATAAAATTATTCACCAATTACTTATACTTTTATCCGTACATAACTCTGTCAAAATGAAATATCAAGATATTGTTGTCTTTAACAATATCTTTACAGCGAAATAAGGTTTTAAGTGAAACAGTAAAGTTGATATGAAATATGGCTAAGTATGTCAGGTTTCATTAAAGCTCGCTTATAGGGAAAGAGTTGCTTGTAATCTATCAATTGGCTAGCCGACGAAATTTCCGTGTGATCAGTTCGCTTTTATCTACTAAATAACTTATTACACAGTTCAATATGCGTAATATTTTATTAAATTTGCTTTTATCTATTATTTACGGCAACTTATTTAATTTATTGAGTGTGCTATTTTCATCCGTATTATATAAAAGCAAGATTAATTTACACACAAAAAAATTACAAAAAGGTTAAATACTCAACAGGGATTTACGAAACCGAGTAATGGGAAATTTTAATAAATTGTAATTACTCAGTTTTGTAAATAGAGAAAATATATTCGCAAACTCCGCCGGTGCCATTGTCGGCTATTTGAAAGGGAAAGATAATTAAATAGTGGTTGGTTAGTCAATAAAGTTGATAAAATAATTGGGAACAGTCTGAAATCAAAGGTGAGGAAAGCAATGCCCTAAAAGTGAATATGTTTCAGTAATCACTGATTATCTCACATCATCAAATTATTGTTGTTGGACATCTAAGAGCATTGAGAAAATTAAATGCATTTTGACGTAATATGTTGAACTCTACCCTAGTATGATTTGTTCTGTGTTCCAGCTCGCAAAGATGAAAACCAAAATGAGTTATACTTTATTACTTGCGTATTATAAGGCATATGCAAGTGGGTGTCAGTTCCAGGTGAAATGAACACCAGCCCTTTCTTTTTTGTAGTGGGTTTTAAAAAACTTTGGAGTAGTAAAATTTCTCTCATATGGTTTAACTGTGTTACATAACGGTTTAATGTTCATTGTGGTTCTCACCGTAAGCTATACTCACTACTAAGCTCACTTGGTAACCTGTTAAAATTAAATAAAAAGAAAGTAATTCCCCTGGGCCACGCAGAAGCATCAGTTGTAGCACGAACTGTACAAGTAAGTACCACGGCCTAAAGAAGACTGGTATGAAGGAGAAGTTTTACTTTCGCGTTATGTCCCCCACTGTTTTCTGAGTCGTATAGTTGCATGCAACGTAACACCACTTGTGGTTAATATTACCAAAGGTGACTAATCGGAAAAAAAAATAATAGCTTAATAGGATAAGCATAAAGGATTCGTCCCACAGTTTTATTTACTAGGTTTTAAAATTTGGAAACAGTGGCCTCAAGATTTTATCAACGAAACGTGACGAAGGATTAAAGCGAAGGAGACACGTGAGATCCTCTGTTTATTGGAGCACTTATGGAATAACCCGGAACGTTTTACAAGCTGTTGTTTAAAATTTTAAAACTGCAGAAGGAGACGGAGGGAGTTTTATCTTAGATTAAATCTCATCTCGTTGTATTAGATTAAATCTCACATATCTGAGTAGTACTGAACAAAATTATGTGTTAAAAGTAAGTTATTTACATATTCCATGTCTATCTTATTTCTAAAGCGCTTTATGGACTGAATAATCATGTTTCAAATACTTCAGAGATATTTATTTTACATTTAAACAAATTTCCTAAAATTTTTATATGAAAAATTGGATCGTCTGTATGGTGTTTTTGATAGAAATAGTAGACTGTTAATCTTTTTCGTTTTTTACGAGAGACAGCGGTAAATGACCAGGAGGTTCACTATGTTGAATGATTATTGCTCAGTTATAAATCCTGAGCAACTGTATTTTGCAATCCAATATTTAAAACATTAAATCTATATAAATTACGTATTATCTTATAAACCACCTTATAAAAACCATGTTATCTAATAGTCCATGCGGCATGGTGTCAAGAACGCTAGCTGCATTTCCTCGCTGAATAGTTATGTTTAACATTTGAGCGAGCAAATAACCAGCTCTCTTGTTACCAGCAGCGGAGTTAAGCCTAAAACTTCGATGTACCTTTCAAAAATTTTGTACGGGGACTCCAAGGACACAAGGTTTCAACAGCAAATGGCACAAATACATAATCTGAACAAAGAGACTCATATTTGCGCCACTTACTCCGGCTGCCTCCAATGCAGCCCCGGCCCTGCCTTCGGGCAGGCAATGTCTACACAACTGTTGAGTTTCTTGCGGGTTTCTTCTCAACAGAAACTGCTTTCCGAACCGGTGGTAACTTACGAACGTGTTAATTTCTTTGTAAAATTTTGACGTTTCATAAGAACGCGCAAGCGTCTATGTGAATGAAGATATTTTATTATTATTGTTATCAAGAAGCATCCCAAACGGGGACTTTGCTTTCTCCCAGGGCATCAAAGTCAAGCCGTCGGGTCTTTTACCATCATCGGGAAAAATGCCGCAGGGCTCTAGAATAGATGGAACGTAGATGGAAACGAGAGTACGGATGGTGTCGTTCAGGAAACCGTGGCTGGAAAAGCCAGCACTTTTCTGACACAATTGCAAAGCGTGCCAAACTTTATGGTGGGTACCGCTCGCCTTTCTCACCAGACGAAATTCATGTACTTCTAATTTACGTGGTTCGTCTTTGAGACTAATATCTGATATTCATGGCGCATTAAATTGCAAGGCGTTAGGGATTCATGTCATGGACACTCTAGTTCCTACGTTATTCAAACATATTATATCAGAGGGATTTATGAAATAATTTAACGTTGAATTAGTAGAGAACTTGAGTTAGTTATTAGTTAATTCATGTCGTGTATTATAATAAATTCAAACTTTTCTTCAAATTAATGTTATCGTTTGCTAATGAGACAGTCCTCCGCACTTGCGTATAGTTGTTTGTAATTTAATTAAAATGTAATAAATTTTGTCACGTTAAGCTTATTTAATCTATAGTTAAAGAGTGTAGATATTGACGATTAGCTTCCGTGTCAAAGTCACTTTTGTTTACAGAGCGCTCAACGAAAATTACTTGTATGAAGCAAATACCCATCATAACACTGGCAACAAACTGTCATTAAAGTAATAAAAAATGTTTGACGTTTCGAGACATTTTGTTTTACTGCTTCTACATCTGATAATGTTTTAATCTAAGCCTTGTACTCTCTTATAATTTTTATAACACAATTTGACAATTGTTTGAGAAAAGGGAAAATACACTATATTATGATTACTTTAGACACACCGAGATAAGCCGGGTTTTTTCTTTAAATTTTCATAGTCATAATTCATCTTGTAAATATTTTACTTGCTGAGTAAGAATTAGAAAGAGTTAAAATTAACTGTGTACAATTTTTGTCATTTAATTGTCTTTCCCGTAGAAAATAATGTAATAGCATATTATAAGATTTAATAACATATACGATCTGTACCTCCGCACCGGTCAAAATTTAGTTTTCCGATGGCAATATACACCTTGACAACCAATAATATTACATATTATTAATATATACAAATACGCGGTAGATGTAACGCGGTGACATTAGCGCACCGAAACTGAGGCAGCCAGGCGGAATCGGCGCATCAGTACCGCCCTTGCCCTACGGATGATATAAATGCATGGCAACCCCATGCCATATTGTTTAAACTGGAATTGTTTAAACAATTACAACGAATTGTAACTTTTCAACTGAACATTTTTTATATTCCTTAGTAAAATACAAATAAAAAAATATCGCACTGCTACTCGCTTGCCACCGTCTCAAATAAAAGAAAATGTATAATAGCATTGCCATTTGGGCTACACGGTTTAAGGTCATTGTGATATACTCTTACTAATACGTTATTTTATACAAAATCTATTTAAGAAAACTTTTTACTCACTTCAAAGAACTCATTAGAATGAGTTAAATCGATTTGCATATTGTAGATTCTGCAATCTTTAAAATAAATGCTTAGAGCGATGAAGGGTGATATTTATAAATTATAAGACAATTTGTTTCGCTTTTATGTATTGATGTGATTAGATTCTTTTGATAACTTTAATGGAATTGAATGAATTATGTTGAAATAATACATAAAATGTAGATGGTTCGTGACGTTCTAAGAGATGGTCTAATTTTCTAAAGACGATAAAACACCTTG